GTCTGGAGGAGGTCTGCGCGTAGCAGTAGATCGATCATTTCTTTTAGAAGTTTTGGATATGTCCGGACTTCCAATTGATGGTGCAACTTGACTTTTCTATATATTTTTCAAAATGTGTGACTGGTAAACGCCGATAATCATGAAGCATGGTGTGGCACGAATGGGTCGTCTCGACCGGAGTAATATCACAGCCACCACGCAACGATGGCGTGAAACAACCACAGCGTGTTGTGTTTCGCCGTCTGACTGAGGTTACCGGAATCCCTATCCTTCCCAATCCCTCCTCATTCCCAAAAACTGTATTATGTAATTTTAGAAAATATTTTCATTTCATATTCATGTTTGAAAAACGAGATCAACGGGTTACCTAGGTACGCGGTAGCAAATTTTTTTGAAGCGCGTAAATTCAACGTCGTCGTCGATCCTAATCAATTTGGATGACGCAATAATAAAACTAAATCGCAATAAACAATATATTTATTTTCAATATAGTATAACAAGTATTTGTTTTCGTTACAGTCTAACAGATATTTTGTTAATTACCTACCTACTCATTGTTGTTTTCTTCTGTTTATCTTAGAATCGCTAAATGTCATGTCTCTTTATTTACACACAAAGAACTTTCTTAGAGAGTTGACCTGCTGATATTTTTTTTATTTGACAGGTCGTCAAACGAGCAGACCTATTATTTGATGGAAGGTAATTTGTGCTGCCTATGGACACTTGCAACAAACAAGCCAGCTTTCTGTGGATTACGAGGGATTTCAGGATAGGATTAGGAACGATAGATTAAATTGTGAATCTCACTATCAGGTGAGTATTCTGTCCGTTTGTCTTCTACGTGTAAAAAAATCGGATTACTTGATAACTTCTAGGTTGCCTTACCATACTGAGCAGACTTATTCCAGTCCTTGCCACTACAGTAAATGCTAAAAGTAGGTAGGTAAAGTATCACCTTACCCACTTTATACTTGGACATGTAAAACAATTCCCACAGTATCCACCTACACTAATTTAGTAAGAATTACTTACCAACCTAGAAATAGAAGCAGTTATATTAATAGGGCAAATGTAATGATGTCAACATATGTAAGTTCTCAGGAAAACTTCCATAACAATGATAGGTGGTTAATATCGCAACAGCATAAAAACTTTGCCAAGTTGAGTAGGTATCGAACGCGTAAGTGCTTCGATTTATAAAAATTAATATCCAGTTTTTGGTTTGTTATTAAAAATTATAATGTGCATAGTTAAAGACGAGTATCATGTTAAAACTGAAGAAGATAAAGCAAGTAAATATCTAGATTTAGCTCTTGAGGTTGTCGAGATGTAAAATGTAGACGTTGTGCCCATAGCTTAATTCTTAGACATAATAAGTAATTGGTGGAAGGTCAAGAGCCTGATGGAGAAGGCGCTAGGTACTTCAGGACGCGGCGCATTTTCATTTTCATTCCTAGTTACCTACTTACCAGCATTTAAATGATGCAATGCAGATCACAGCATCGCCTGGCCTTGTTCCTACACCTTTTGTTCGTCTGAGCGCAGTTACAATTAGATTTAAATGTGAGCGTGTGCCCACTGTCCATTATATTATTAGATCATATCTAGTATCTACCTAGTGACTATTCCAGCAACCACTGAGCTCTGGGTCAGGGCTGAGGTCCATTATTGGGCTTACCCCGCCACTGGCCTAGAGGCATAAGTATCATCATTAATCAGTTACAAAGTAACCATTGCCGAAAAAACCAACTATTGACTTTCTGATCAGCTGATTTAATGCGATATGGTTTAATCAGCTTTTTCAGATTCGGACTGAATAAACTAGGCCAATAACTAAATAGGACTTGCAGGAGTCCCATATCAGATCTAGTAGATATTTAAACTGTACAAACCACTATGAATATTTGTACTTAGCTTACTATGTTTTATGATAAGCGTATTTTCAAATGGAAAAAGTTTTAATTATCATCCGCGTTAATATCTATACAGATATTTTGAGCATTATTAAATTTGGTGTCGAAATGGATCTTGCATGATTAAAATTAGTCGATCGTCATTTTATTAGTTAGCTCTTGGTATTCGTAAGTTGGTACTTATAATATGTGCAATTTTGAGAACGTAATTGACTAGTAGTCAAAATCAATATTTTTTTCGAATTTGTATGACATTGTGAGTTTTTACGTCAAATAACATACTTATTTCTTGAAAAATACGATTACTAATATTACAATATAATGTATAATCACAGAATAGCGCTGTCTAACAATATCAACTTGTTCGGCATCTAGTAATTCTTCTGCTAGTTTGCCGACCTATTCCATAAAAAAACTTATGTACTTATGTATGTAGGTAGGTACTTTCTTACTCCATGTAGATTTTTGTACTTTAAACTCTCGACATTAGTGGTGGTACGTGTTTTAATTCACAATTACTTTTTTATTGCAACTATCGCAGACATTTTCCTGTTCTGGACGGATGTGGTCATGTGGAATTTTACTGTTTTCGAAAGCCAAAATACTTATTTCTGATTTAATTTTTAATTACCTAGTACTAGCTTCCGCCAGCGGCTTCGCCCGCGTGCTGTGTTGATAAAAAGCAGCCTATAGCAATAGAACAAAATCGAAGTATACATAAAATTTGTTATTAATCGTCTCATTTTTATGGGTACATCTCCAATTATTTACTAAGTCTCCGCGATCCGTCCGCCCATAGATAGAAAGGTACGAATCTAACTAATAGGTAGTTAGTATTTCAAATATTTCATAAAACCTATTATATTATATTTTATACCGCGTCGCGTCGAGAGCGGCAACCGTTACACAAAAATAATCCTTTTTTTTTAATGTTATAAGTAGGCAAACGAGCGGACGGATTACCTGATGGTAAGCAATCAACGCCGCCCATGGACACCCGCAACGGAGGAGTTACGAGTGCGTTGCCGACCTTTTAGGGATTAGGGATTTGGAGATTTAGGGATTGGGGAAGGGTCCGGGAAGGGGAAGGATTGGGCCTCCGGTAACCTCACTCACACGGCGAAACACAATGCTGTAATTGTTTCACGCCGGTTTTCTGTGAGGCCGTGGTATCACTCCGGTCGAGCCGACCCATTCGTGCTAAAGCATGGCTCTCCCACACTTAAAGTGCATGATGATCCTTGTAGCATGATTCAGTGTTCACATGCCACGGCGCGATGGCTTATTATCCGAACTGCTAAGCTATCAGGAGTTACACGTGCTATTGTGAGTTAACCATAAAAGATAGTCATATGCTGTAATACAATTTTATTTAGATCATTTGATGTAGAATACATAATTTCTATGTAACTTTAACCATTAAGGCTACACACGCGACGGAAACTTAAAAAAGGGAGTAACTTCTCCCGTTTTCCCAACATTCCCCTTCACTGCTCTGCTCCTATTATTTGTAGCGTGATGAAAAGTATCCTATGACCTGCCCACGAGTATAAAGACTAATTGTACCAAGTTTTGTGAAAACCAAAACTTGGTACCGTCGAGTGGTTTTTGTTTCTATAAGGAACATACAGACAGACAGACAGACAAAAATTTTACTGATTGCATTTTTGGCATCACTATCGATCACTTATCACCCCCTGGTAGTTATTTTGAAAATATATTTCATGTACAGAATTGGCCTCTCTACAGAAATTTTAACACTGGACATACAAAAATAAGCTCTTCATATAGGTTAATGTATATAACTTAGGTTGCATTTTATAAACATCAATTTAAAAGTATTTGATTATTTTTTGCTGTAGGTTCCAGGTCAAGCGCATTAAGGTAGGTATTGCGGTACCAGCCTGGAGTAGGAGAAGGAACGGTGGTTTGAAGTCAGTGAGATTCTTTCAGAAGAGTCATTTGACGATTTTCGCCGTCAAAAAAAAGTTAGTACACCAACCAAGGTTATAACTACCTACCAGCATAGCTTAGTTTTTTTTTATAGTATAGGTTGGCAAACGAATTGACGGATTACCTAATGGTTAGCAATAGTTGCCGCCCATGGACGTCCGCAACACCACCAAAGAAGTTACGAGTGCGTTGCCGGTCTTTTAGGGAGATAAGGGTTTCGGATATTTAAGGAATAAGAAGGGATGGGCGAGTGGAAAGTATTAGGCCTCCGGTAACCTCACTCACACGGCGAAACACAACGCCGGTGGTTTCACGGCGGTTTTCTGTGAGGCCGTGGTATCACTTCGGTCGAGCCAACCCACCCGGGCCGAAGCTCTCTCCCAAACTTGACTTAGATTCGTACTTCACTTAGTTTTTCGTTGTCATTAAAAGTTCTCTAAGCATTTACTAACTTAAGTAGGAGAAACTACCTAGCTACGATAAGTTAGCGTACAGCTAAGCTGTCTAGACACTGATTTAAATCAACTTCAAGTAAAAAATAAAACCTAGATTCCAAAGCATAACAAGTATTGCATTATGCATGCGAGTCAAATCACTTGCATTGTATGCAGCCTGCCTGTCACCGTAATAACAGGCCGCCGTGAGATGGGAAACCGTCTTTTGTACTGTCATATTGAACAGCCACGGATCGTTGCTCTAAACAATTAGAACCAGCCTTATTGGAACCATACCATTTCATTGAGAGTGACATTTTTCTTTACTATGGCAAGTATCAAGGAATACTGGAAGCTAGTATTCATGAAAATAATCCCCTGAACAGTTAATCAATCAAGTATTAACATTTTTTACTCGCTCGTCATACTTATCTATGAAGGAACAGTACTTGCCTATCTTTTTTGAAAATTTATTAAATTCAATGCCTTGCATTATTTTTAGATAGTAAAATATTGAGTACGCATGATTTATGGTGCTTTATATGTAAATAAATAAAATTACAACAAAATCGCTGTCAACGATCATTCGGTCAATATTAATTTTATTTATTTACATATAAAACACCATAAATCGGTGGTATGATTCGGTGGTAACAAAAGCAAAAAAATAAAAATGAAAATTGAAAATTTATAGTCAATAATGGTAAGTATCAAATGAATGTTCCAAACACATGGGATTTCTTGTTTCTTATTTAATGAGACTTACAAAAACATAACGTACATACGTTTAGGTACACTAAATTGATAATACAGCACTGTGTCATTCCTCTGGCTATAAAAATATATAATGTAAAGTGATGTTGTTATTAAATTATATTGAATATTATTGTGTATTAATACTATATTATTTAATGAAAGCAATTATTTTCTTTGCTGAATATTACTTTCATCTTTTAGAATATGGCAACATTCTGAGAAAAATGACATTGACAACTTTGACTTCACAATGTGTTGACATTGAAAAGCACATTTGACAACTGACAGAAATTGATTAAGCGGGAAGAAAAGAAATCAAATCAAACGTGATGGTAATTGTTTATTGTTTTGTTAATGTTATAATGATATAGCTCAATGAAAACAAATGAAAGTATGAATATGTCAGATTTGCCTAAACCCGTACAACAAGTGCTAACGAAGTTGGTTCCAGCGTTTGTTTTGAAAAACATAATCTGTTTCGTATTTTACGATAAACATCCAAATGATGACAAAAATATTGATGTTACACTGTGCACCACATTCGGAGAAGTGCTCGAATATTACAAAAGAAACTTAGTGTGTTCGATAAAACTTCCAAATAACGTCAAACCGACAGCTATTAAGATTATTAGGAACCCTAACTGTGATCTTTTTTATTTAGTGTCTGTGAAGGAACAAATAACTATTCTGGCAAGAAAAGACAAGCTATTAGTCCACCAAATAGTAAATAATGTTGATAAGTATGATATCGACGACGGTTCATGTAGTGGACAATCTAGTTTGAGAATATTCCTCAAAGGTGATGCTGTTCCTCATATATTTGATGAGAACTTCAAAACTTTCAAAAGACCAGACATTTCAGTAACAGTTTCGGAACCAGGAAATGATGAAAGTGTTCCTATAATAGCACATTTGATGAGAAAATTGACGGAAGCAAGGTACAGTGTTCAGCATAGTGAAAAAACCTACAAAGAACTGTTAGAACTCCACCAGAGAGTTGCATTTGAATGTTATAAGAAGATCCACCCTAATTTACAGGATTCTGTGTTTAACAATGGTCCAGAAGAGGTAACTTGCTATTTGTTTGTTATACTATTAAGAACTATATATCTTTTGGAATCGTAATATTGATTAGCTTGTGAAGTGCTTGGTGTGTAGAATCAAGCCTATAGCCTGATTAGTTTTCACCAAATCAATCTATTTCTTTCTTGATGTAATGCTTCTAGTACCATACAATACCACCAACATATCCTGGCGAGTCTGAAGTTAGCCGATTAGCTGTGCAGTACACAATTTTGTTCTTAAAAGATCTATTGCGTAGGCAAAAGGGCTAACTTCAGCCTCGCTTAGATATGTCAGCCGCAGTGTACTGTATCACCAAATGTATGCAAAAGATAGGTACTTTATTGTTATAAGATTGTCATATCTAATTCTCCTAATAATGTGTTTTTATTATTAACTACACTTAACTGACGAGACAATGTAACCCAAGTCCCAATCCTCTCACATCCCCCCATCATCAATCTCCTTCATTTTCAAAAACCTGTACTTCCACTTATTAAGGGAAATAGAATATCAAATGGTACTAAATCTATACAATGCAGGATTAGTGTCTCATAAACTAATATATTTATTATTGTTTTTCAGATAGCTTCTGCCGTGAGAATTAAAACAAAACCTCCATGGATAAAAGTTTGCAATAAGAAAATTGTAATTGTCATAGAAGTTTCCAATTTAAATAAAGAGTAAGTAATAGAAGCTGATTGTTTGGTTTTTTTATAGTTGACTGAATTAAAATAGTGATTAAGATTATTTATACATTTTTATGTAAATTAAGTACAGTATTTTGGCTTATCATATAATAATAAATATCTATTTCACTGATGTGAATGAAATTGGGTATCGCCATAATAAATATTACTATAATTTTTTTTTATTAGAAGAAACATTGTACATATGTTTGATTTTCATTTTATCAATAAATGTTTCTTATCTAAAATTACTATTAATTTCAGGAATCTAGAAGATGTCCACATCTTAGTACATGGCACTACAGGACAATCAATAGAATATACAACAAAATTATTTGAAGAAACCTTCATTATGACAAATAATCTTCCATTTTGGACAGAAATTCAGACACAAACTCTAAAACCTAACATTTCCTCAGCCATAGTTCTTGTTATGGACATTAAAGAAGTAATAGACAGTCTTATGTGCAAATTATGTTTGAATGGTGTTATATTTTATAAGAGAAAAGGAAAAGAATATCTTCTTCCATTACAAGAAATAGAATTGTATGCAAAAGATACTATTGGTGCAAAGTTTGATGCCATATCTGATACTCCTATAGGTATGTATTTATTTTTACTTTAACAAAACCAAATAATCCAAGGACCATTCCTTTTGCATCCCTTATCCTGTTTTTGAGCTTGGAAAAAACCAAATGACTTCTTTCACCACAATTGGGCTGAGAGGGAGAATTATTATCTTACTGACCAAAGTTATGCGCCAGGCTGGGGCCATATTACAGTTTGCATTTGCTTCTGCAATTGTGGCTGGGATCCCTCAGGTTTTGTGGGTGTCTGCATGTCTTTCTATTTGAATTAAAGTTTGAAGCTTTTTAAACATTTTAAAAACATTGGAAATATTTTCGTAGGCTTTCTGTAAAGTCACACTTATAGCCCTTTTTCTGAACTGCATACAGTTGAAAATAGAAGTTTAGTGTATTAAAAAACAAAACACAATCAATAAATAGTTTATTTTAATTGAATTTTCTTTTCTATTTTCAGATTCCAAAACAATGCTGGCTATACTAGCAACAACAGAGAAAACAGATCTTCTGCTCAGACATATAATGAGATCTAATGAAGTACAATTAAGTCTCGAAATCCTATGTCAGTATCTGATGATGGAGAAATTGGATCATTACAGCAACATTATTATACATAGAAGTTCTCCCTACCATACTCTGAATGGTGTTATGATTGTTATGCACGGTGAACAAGCAGATGTCAATAATTACACCACTTTATGTGTTTATTCTAGGTAAGTAGTATTTTTAAGTATGCTAACTGTTATAGATGGCCAGTCTCTTCTTTCAACCAAGAAACATTTTTCAGTAATATTATTAGTTACATACAAACATATTATACAATAAGGGTGACAAAGTTTTTTTTAAATATTAAATTTATTTTAATTAAAAAAAAACGATTCCGATAGATTGTTAATGGACTAAATCGATTTTATTTTTCTTGGTCCCTTTTTTAAACTCCAAACCAAAGTTTTGCAATTTGGTAGTAAAAATCAGATACCATATCCAACTGAAGACGCCACGTACTTCACAACACATAAGTAATATGAAAACAATTGAAGATTACACATTTATTCTAAATTCCAGGACACCATCTCAAGTATTAGCTCTAATCCATTGCATACACGATGCAGTACCTCTAACACTAGTCATCACGACTCCTAACCAAAAGCTCACAGCAAAAGATGACAAACTAGCGAAATTCAACGAAGAAAGTATAGAATGCACACAAAAGCTGTACAATTACCAAAATTACGCGTCAACTATATTGAAACGAACTAAACTAGCCTTGAAATATTTGGACGATTCCATGGTGAAAATGGGTGAGTCTAAAAATCCTTTAGTTCAAAGTAAGATTGGCAGTGAGATCGACCTTTTTGCTGCCGGTCAAGGAAGGTATATAGAATTTAAGGATAAAATGAGGAAGGAAGCAGCTTTGGGTGTTAAAACTTTGTATGAAGATGAGGGCGATCCAGATTCTCTGGAAGATTCCGACCCTGATGTAATGTGTGTAGACTGAGAGATTGAAGATTAGTATTGTTGCTGTCAAAAGTTGATTGTCTACTGTTGTATTTGGTTTTAAAAGAATATATTTATATATATAAAAATGTATTTTTTGTTATAAGGGAATTTTACAAGTCAGCATTGTGTGAAAAATCTCGGCGGAGCCTTTGCATTACATGTTGGGTATATTATTATTAGTAACATGACTGACTACTCAGGTTCACATGTCATTGGAAATGTTTTAAAACCGATTACGTACCTTTTTACGGGCAATCGTCGTGTTTCATGTTATCAACGTTATTTTAAACGGGTATTAACGCGAAAAGTAATTATTTAAATACCTTGGAAGGCTTGAAGTTTCGACCTGGTTGCACAGGTCGTGGTCGCTAGCAGACTGAACTGAAACGTCAGGCCTTTCAAAGTCAGCTGGGGTTGCGGGGTAAGCGCAATGACGCACCGCGACCTCGGCCTAGAGCAGGAGTAGGAACAGGGGGGTTTTTGGTCAGTAAGAGTCTGATACTCCCTCCAGCCCGACCCTGGGCGGGAGAAGACATTTGATGATTTTCCCCTCAAAAAAAGGCCTTTCAAAGTATTTAAATAATAACAACCCGTTTAATAATATGTTGTTAATACTAATTCAAATTAAGCAAAATAAAAAATTGCTTCAGTACGAGATACGCAGTATGCACTAGCCCCAATCATGTGTGAAATTCGATTACTAGATATTGTAATGATTTACATGTATGCTCATAAATCTGTGATAATATAATAATTAAGTATGTACTTATATCCTTTACTATACTGTCCAATAAGCAATATTTCCATGTACATATGTATTAGTAACTTACTCTTAAAAATCGTCTTTAACGATTTCCTTGAAGGATCGAACAAGTATTTTAGTCAATAAAAATACCATTAAATGTGTCCTCATTCTTTAATAATTATAAATCAGTAATAAACAACATAAACTTATTGATAAAAACTTCATGTTGACGAAATTAAAATAAATTAAATATTTAAAAGTTACACTACAACAAATTAATCTAGTATTAATAATGTACAAGTTAGCCACTATTAAATACTGGCTGTAAAGAGATTCTTAATACAAAAAGATTACAAAAATAATTTATATTCTTAAAAACTATTGAGCATTTATTAGTATTTCATACAAATTAATTTATATAACTCACATTTTTTTATTTATTGTGTGATATATTAATAACTTTAGTTTAACTGTTTACCCACACAATTGTTTGGCGTAATCATTTGAATTGAGTTGATTGTGCGTCATTAGCCGTGTCGTAGGTATATCGCGCAATGGTGCCAAGAGCTTTTTGGTTTGACTTGAAACTATTCGAGTGAGCTCGTTAAACAATTACCTGAGTAAGCCGTTAAAAATAATTATTCAACTTATATATTTTCTGCTTAATTAGCTAATATTTTATCGTTTAGTTATTTATTATGCATAACAAGTTATTTACTTAACTGCGGGGAAGCTCAAAAGGAACATTATTTAGTTTCAACACGGTGTTTTATATTTATATCTTTTTTCTAACGTTTTAATTTTTTTTTGCTAAACATGTATTCTATGTTTTTCAAATAAAAGTTGAGTAAAATATAGTCTTCATAGTTTTAAAACATTTAAATTACTTATTCCTACGAAAATTATACAAATCTGTTCGATAATATACAAAGTTCTAAATGATTTTATAACAGAATGACCTATACGCTAAAAGTACCCGGTTTCCCCATTTGCGTTTTCTTAGCACCATATTATCAGCTACTTGATATAATAGGTCTTTACCTATGAAATTGCCGTTTTGCATGAAAAAAATTAAACGATTTTTTTTTATTTGAAATGCGATGAAAATCAAACACTCATCAATAAACAAATGACTACTTTTGGAAAAAGAATCCTATGTTTTTAAAACAAAATTAATTAGCCTTAGCCTAACAAAAACTATTTTGATTTGAAATGGCCAGTACTGCAGAACGGCAATTTCATAGATAAATACCTATTATTAATTTACCTAAACTAAATAATTATTGAATACCCCACAACCTATAAACCCTGTGACTGTTGGTTACAAACAACCCCATTTATACTTTTTTAAAGCTGATTGAAACACATTAATAATATTAAATTCTCGAAATATGTAACACATAACGACACAAAGTTATAAGAACAATAAATACTACAGTCAATAGTTTGGCAAAAGCACAATTAATCGTAAACGTATGAGTTCCGGTGTACCTTGAAAGTAGTCGAGCTTTCGAGTAAAAATTCTCCATTTCTGCAGGAATAAAATTAAGGAAAGTTTCTCTCGCTTCTTTATAATTTTACGATAATAGGTACTAGCTTTTGCCCGCGACTTCGACGTGGAATTGTGACTTCCTGCAGATTTTTGGTAAAAAAACTATCCTATGTCCTTTCTCGAGTTCCAAACTACGTCTGTACCAAAATTCCACACAAACAGGTTCAGTAGTTTAGGCGTGAAGAAAAGACAGACGGACAGAGTTACTTTTGCATTTATAATATTAGTTTGGATTATACGTATTTTAGTCACAAATGATGGTTACTAAATCAATATCTACAGCTTTACTTAACGATTGTTTGTCCCCAACTTTAGTCGAATGCCACAACCAAAATATTTGTGCTCTCACAAATCCACAGAGAGGAAATCATTCCAATCCTCTCTGGAGCACTATTTAATGTCAGGTACTAGGAAGCTTATTATTGCTGCCTGACTCTTCTTCTATAGCAAAATATACAATTTATTAACCTAAAAATAAATTAATACATACACTGTACAGTTTAATAAATAGTACTAAAATTTATTCTTATTATTCTATTCTTGCATTGCACGTCCGGCCTCACTATTTAACTAATTATTTCTATTAACTTATAATAAATGAAATCGATGATTTTAAGAGGTAATTATATAAATAAATTAGATTAATAATAATCGTGTTTAACACGTTCATTTGAAGTAATTGCTATAAAATATACACATTTTTTTAAACATACAAGACTTATTAAGTTCTCTATACACAAAGTCTAAATATCGATTATTAGGAGCATTTTCATTTTCATATTGCACCGTGATTATTGCACATAGATCAATTTAATCTAAATCTAAGCTATAGGAATGCATTATAAACATTCGTCAGCGTGTTTAAATTTTCCATTAACGTCGCTATAAGATTTACTACTAAAACTAAAACTGTCCTCTAACTCAGTCTGCATTTTTCGAAAACTGTCAAAGTAAACGGAATGCGTCTCTGTACTTTCGGCACCAGATTCACTTCGCGCTTCATTCTCTGTATCGTCACTTTCACTACAACTCACTATTTTTGCGATCACTAATTTCCTCGGCATTTGCCTTGACGATGTAGAGTCACTGCTTAAATACCCAGAGTCTTGAACATTAGAACCCTTCTTTCTTCTAAAACGAGTCTTTGAATGTCCTTCAACCTTTGAACCTTTAACAAAAGTATCAGTATTTATATTGCCAACTCTACCTGAACGTTTTCGAATTATATTTCTATTCATATCCGTTTTTCTAACAGTCCCACTAATGGACTCCATGTTTTCGTATTCCGAGGATTGTGACTGGACAGAAGCTCTCATTGGACTGCAAGAAGCTCCATAATGTGATTCTGGAGATATGGAACTGTCGTGCGTCGAGTCAGTAGTCATACTCTTCGTAAATATCCTCGGACTGAGGCTTCTGCCAGTCACGTTTTTTGGATTAATTTCGTTTATTGTTTCCAAATCCGTCTCAACTTTTCTAGGGGGAAATATTGGTTGTTCATAAATGGGGTCATCCTCCGTTGGCGGTAAAGGTGGTAAAACATCAGGTCTTGCAAGATTTTTGAGTTGCTTTATCGTTGGAGGCGTACATTGTCTCTGTCTTTTAGAATGTCTTAATTCTAGCGTCAGTATTCGACCCTCTTCAGTTGTCCATTCTTCGGCGTCATGCCAAGTCTCACTTGTTGTATCTTCTAGACTTTTTGAACCACTATAAATGCCCTCCGACAACTTGGGGCGTTCATAAACGTTTTTCCGTTGCTCGTATTCATGTCTGAGACTGTTGAATTTCGTCAAATAATCTCCCTTGTCACTTGTTTTCTGGAAAGTACCACTGCTTCTGAGCATTATCCGTTGTTGAACCGGAGGATTTTCTTTATCGTCAATATTTTTGATAAGATCTTTTCTGCTGAACTGTGTAGAGTCACTTATTTCCTTGTGTTTAGGATGTTTTCTGTCTAAAGTATCTGGTTCGAAGCCATCCGATTCGTGTATTTTGATGTAATTTTCTGGAGGATCTTTCACTTCGATAGTCAAACAACCAGGCTTTAATTCTGTATCGTTAATAGTAGTTACTAATTTGCGACTGCCCATGGAACAGTCTGACCCACTGGGTGATGTAGGAGCACTTCCAAAGTTATAGGTATTATTAACGTAAACTTCACTAACTAAACTAGCTTTAGGTGTTTCGAAGGGAGGAGGCTGGGTCTTTTCTATTGTTTCATAATGATTTTGGTCAATTAAAATATCTCTATGTGGTGAAGGGGTATTGCTGTTACTGCTTGAATGAATTTTGTATATAGCATTCCTCATTGTTAGTTCTTCTTCTAAGGGTAAAGCATTACTTAAGCTTGGGCTTGCCTGAGATGACGGTATATCAGTATAATCTGTTGTAGATAGAGCCTTCTTATTAGTACTTCTTTCCAAACTGTCTGTTTCGTAATCGTTACCACACGGACTTTCAGACGCATTCCTCGTATATGGGTTGGAAATTGGAATTGTTGGCTTTTTAATATTACTTATTCTTTCTTCATCCGAGCTACTTTGATTGTAAGATTTCGTACAGTGATCGAGAGCAATGGCTTCGTTTACCATATCAGGAAGAGCATTATTATTAGTGAAAGGCTTGCTTATTCTTGGATGACCTAAGCCATTCCTGTGCTTTAAAGAGCGATAGTCGTTCAAACCAATTGGTCTAATATCATCCACACGAGCAACAGTTTGGCAATACAAATTGAAGTCTATGCGTTTTCGGTCTGCGTTTTCAAAATCAGGTAGTGGTAAATTATAATTTCGCAACACAGGTTCCGATCTAACAGATAAAGTAGATGACTTTTTTGGCACTGAAATATTATCAGCCAAATACATTGAATTACAACTTGAAAAACTGTTTTGCTTTCTCACTTTGCGGCGACTTTCACTGACAGGAAGTGATAAAAGCGATTCGGCTAAACTGTTTTGATTTGTGGGCAAAAAGTCGTTGTACGCATGTTGTTTTGCCGTGGGAATGTTTTCCAACCACTTTCGTATACTATTTTGCTTATCTCCTTTGTTGCCGAGACAGTTAACACAGGCTGGGATATTGTACTTCGCAATTTGTTGGATATCGCTGTCGTCATCTATCTTGCAACCCGGACAGCCAATGCAATTTTTCTTTCTACTGTTTTCTCTTTTCAGGCTGACTACGCTGCCACTTCTTTGGCTCCCCATTCCTTGATATATGTCGATACTGTTTCCATTGGAAGGTATAGTTTCTTCTTCCGGTATTTGGTTTAAAACTGGTTGAAATCTCTTGGCTGCCATTTTGTGTTTTGCTATTGCTATCACTTCTCTGATCTTGACCAAAAATTCCAATGCTGCAGCTGGGGGCTCCTGTAATTGTTAATGCAATTAACTTAAATATTCGTAACAATTAAGATATCATGTAAAACAGACATAAAAACATAATATTCTTACCGCCATAAGCTGTGGTTCAAAATAAGCAGGGTTGAAGTATAATTTCCTTCGTGTTGTGCCAACTGGTCGTGCTATTTCTCTATCGTCTTGTGTTTCCACAATAGACACATGTTCGTCTGGAAGCCTTTCAATTCCCGATTCATCACGGTGACTTATTTCTGAACTATCGTTTTTATTTGATTTGAAATCACCATAATGCTGATGTATCACCGCTGATGTAGTTTGGTTCTGAAAATTTAATATTCATGATTATTCATATTTAAAATGTTCACATCACATGTTGGATATTTATAAGAGCAAATACTTACAGTGTATGAATTATCATCACTCCGAGCACTGTCCCCAAAATCATCAGAATCAGATATATTGCTTCCTGAATCACTGGGGAAATTCTTGTTGTCGTGCATTTGTCGACTGATATTCAGTAATGGATTTTTCTTGATTATACCGTCATCTTGACCCATTGTATTTGGTAGATTTTGAATTCGTTCGTTATTTACCCTAACAATATCTCTTTCAGTAATTATAGACCCATCTTTCTTAATGAGTCCTTTTAATCTTCTATTGCCATCTTCATCAGACATTGCCTTGCGACGTTTTCGAATGTGTAGAAAAAGGAAAACAGATGCAACGTAGATGAGACCGAGAAGTAAGGAACTGATACCAATAGCGACATATTCTGACACCGTGAGACCATTAGAGCTGGATGCGCTTGCTGTTTGTGCGTTTGGTGCGAATTGAACTTCTGTTATATCTGAAAATTATTTCACATTAATGATGGTGCTAATTCAAGATTGGAATCTAAGTAAAAATGGATTACATACTAGAGTATGGTTTAGGTGGAGTTCCTTGCACCCTAAACGCTACGCATGGTGTGAACACTCCTCGCAAATCAAGTGGCGATGTGGGAGTGGCGGCGACATCGCGACACAGCAATCGAACCACCATTACTCGTCCGGTCATTCTTGCACGCACGTCGTTCTCTCCGCTCCACTACAAATTACAACTCGATAAGTTTCACAAAATAGAAAATCAAAAGTTTTAAAACATATGTGGGAAAATTGATTACTTGTAGAAATGTTCTGCCTTCGTCACGAAATAGATTGAAGGGGACATCAGCATCCAAAGTGTTTCGAAGATCGAGGAAACCTTTCCGTGTAAGAAATTGAGCGCCTGATACAGCACATATTGGTGTTTTCACATCTGTGAAAAGAGAGATTCTTTGTAAAAGAACTGATTTCGATTAAACAAGTGCCACGATATGTATTTTTTAAAATACTCACTTTGGAAAGTGATCTCTCTAGAGGGGTGTATAATCTGTCCTTTTAGTGGTAGATATACAAACGGTATCCTTTGTACAGCGCTGCCAGTACCGAACGTAGCTAGCGAACATTCTGTAAAAAAAAATGTTTATTCTACAAACTGTGAAGTCAAAAATCACCATCATGTAAATGTTTGCCAAATCCGATTTAGGAAAATTACGATCAGGTTCTCATTTGTAAAGGAATTAAGATTTTTTTGTCGAAAATCCGATGTGTTATTGCATATTTGAACCCCGAATTTACACCTTAAGTGACGCTAAAACGACATTTATTTCGCAGTAACACATCCAGTTATTTAGCCTTTGAAACTAAAGTGTAATTGGGATTAGCGTCCATATTGCCAAAAGTGAAATTATGTACGGATGGAATAAGAAGAAGAATAATTTCAAAGAATTCTGCATATAAATTAGCAATACACTACCAATTTTCGATAATATTGAAGTTACAACACAGAGAAAATAATGTGTAAAGAAATGAAAGTAAGCTTATGAAGTCATAAATTATTATGAAAAGATAACATCGGAAAATTGTGATAGCCATTCAAATGCTAGTGGTTTTATCTAATTAAGCAAGGAAAATGGAAAGCTGTTTGATTGTTTTTATGGAATCATTTCCCACATGATGTACCTAGGTAACATTGTTATTTAAAATCCAGTCACTTTGTTGTATGTCTCCCACGGACCTTTATAATTTTTCTCTTCATTATGTTGTTACTATTGGTCTATTATATTGATTCTTAAACAGCAAAAACTATGAATATCTTTTCTATTGAAAGTTTTATTCTTGGTATCAGACTGATCTCCTTAAATAGAAATCCTCATCTATATATACAGTTAACTTAACAATAAGATCATGTAATCGGGCAAAAAATCGGGTACATAGTACCTACGTGACAAATACTTATACAAGGAATCACCCAAAGAAAGTATCCAGTAAACTTTTCTAATACTTTTAAATCTTAGGCGTCTGAATGTCGCATAAAAACCTTCTGATCGTGAAACCTGATATTGCTATGATCTCCAAAGTTAAAAAGTTGTAAGAATTCACGTATCTTCGTTATATTAGCCAAAGTTTTCTTTTGATGTGGTCATGTGAAATAGTTCCGTTTTAAACCTAACTCTAGCAGTTAGTTCCTATTTGTTTCTTTTAAGTGCGTAATTAAACACCATTTGACATAAAAAGAAATTAATTTATAAAATGGGAAAGTTTTTGTCAAGTTTCTATATGTGGTTCTTGTTAACGTTTTTTTCTCCTTACTAAACAATGTGTGAGGATGTCACACATCATCAGCCTATAAGTGCCCACTGCTGAGCAAAGGCCTCTTCTCAGACGGAGAACGTTTGCGCAAATCACCACGCTTGTTCAAGGCTCATACTAGCTATCCTCGCGCGGTTTCACCCGCTGCTCGGCTCTACTTAATCCTAGCGTGATGTTTTTAGCTATCTACAAGTGAAATTATTTTGGCAATCCGACCAGCGGTTCCAAAGATTACCTCCTACATACAAACTTACAAATTTTACCTCTTCGATGTTTTCCTTCACCGTATGTCAGTGGTGACTAATTAATCATAGAAAGCGCATAGATATAACTCGGTACATGTTCCTTTCCAGAAATTAGAAATTAATAAACCAAATATTAAAAGCGTTTGTCCGAGATCTCCTAATGATTCGCCGTACTTAACGACTTAGCTCAGACTAAGCTTGTCGCTTAACCAGAATCTGGTTCGACATTTATATTTCTAGAACTGTTACTAATGAATACTTCATATTGCAGTCATTAATTTTATGTAAATGCGAGCCATTTAACTACGTCATAAATGTCACATAGAAGTAAAAAGTAGGCTAGAGAGTTTACATATTTTCCCAGTCGGCGAAAATCGTGATTATCAAGAACTTGGCGGGTAGTTCGATGTATGAAACCCTAAGAATATGAAACCTATAATAATTGATCATTATCATTAAAGTTTTACATTGCATAAAATTTCTTAATAAAACTTGGCTTTTATAGAAACTGTTCTTAACTCATCATCATCACCAGTCTAGAAGTCCCCAGTGCTGATTTAAATCCTCTTCTCGCACGGATAATGAATGACCAGTACCTAATCATTACGCGACCACGCCGCCTTAAGCAATCAAGGCGGTTTTCGATTTGAAACTTTTTAACTAAAACACTAATTCCAGGTTTCCTCAAGATGTTATAATGACACAGAGAATTCGGACTTAGTCATTTGCCAGGTTTCGAATCTTCATAACAAGTGGGCGGCTTAACCAATAGGCCGCTAAGTCGTTTTGTTTCGTCGAACCGTTATTACCTATTAGTGGGCTATTACTAGTGTGTACCAGACCTACGTAAGCAATGACGTGTATTTGTGCTATACTTTTAACTTGTGCAAATTGTGGTACAACTTGAAAATCACTTAATGTCCTTTTTTACACATTCGAGAGGCTCTCGAATTGAAGAAATGTGGAGTGTATCTTTACGCGCTTAATGTCGATAATTACCTGGCAGATCGTCAACACATAGTTCTCTGTCCTCTCTAAAGAGCGGCGCGCGTTGGGGGCAAGCGCATGCGCACTCGCCGCCCGATTCCGATGCGCGCGCGCCTGCTCCGTGCTCTGCGCATAATGCGGCGCTGCACTCATTTTCTGTAAAGATCGATCGATAGTATCAGTGAATTTGAGCTGAACTTGTTCTAAGTTTAAATTAACAGTCAAATATTTTGATTACTAGTAATATTAAAAACAAGAAAATTAACTAAACTTAACTAAATTTACTAAACAAGAAAATTTGTAAGTATGGACAGATGGATGTTATTCTTTCATGTAAAGAGTACCGAAGGGATCTAAATGCAATTGCCATAGAGATAGATTTTAGTCTGGAATACACACATGCTCATATAGATTACTTAGACCCTGGTATTGCGGATGACGCTGCAGACAGAAGATGCTAGTAAGACATATTTCTAGGAATAAAACAGTTACGTAATAACTGACCGGTAATAGTAAAGATGTCACCAGTGTCACGGCGCGCGAGTTCGCCGAGGCGCGCGCCCCTCACGACTGCAGTGGAGACCAGCACCAGCGCCACCACCAGCTGCAGCCTGGCGGCCATCCTACCCCCCGCCGCCGCCATCCTCGTCACCTCCCGCCATCCGCATCGCTAGTAGAACCTGTCAGGGAAAAAGCATATTCAGACCACTTATCAAACCAGCCAACTTGGGCTACGAGGACCGTTTGCCATCAGAAGGGCCGGTAATATTTGTTGCATGCAAAACCTGGTTCTGATTCTAGACACGAATTTACAGTTACTTTTGTAGAGAGATACCAATTTATTCGATATTCTTGTCGATTTGTGCATGAAAAAGTGCCCTTTTTATTTTTTTTTGCCCAGCTTAGTGATTGCTGTGTCAGTAGGTAAGCAAAACACGGTTTTTTTTAAGTATTTTTAATAACAAATGTCAATGTGAAGAAAAAAGTCAAACATGATAGCATGTACCTAATATAATTTAAATTTTAGTAGTTTAATTCTTGAAACCCCAAGCGAACGCCGTCGTCCGCACACCACATTCTTCTATTGTGTTTCGAATTATCACTATTGAATGGTTAAGTTGCTAAAGTTAACACTACACTTAATAATAATTCTAGAGCTACATCCGTCAAATGTTGTAAGTTTTATGGCTATCAAACAATTCATGGTGGGAATGTGTGATGTACCCTTTGTTTGATCATCAAGTCAGGCAGTGACTACACCTATAATAAAAGTTACATTATCTTCATGCCAAGTCGTAATCCCTCATTCACGTAAGTGCTGACTGACAGTCATTGTATGATTGATCGGATATAAACGGTCCGTACTTGGAAGATATAGGAAAAACGACCGTAGCAAAACTGATCTATGAATAGTTTCATAAAATGTTACAAAATTTTTAATCGTAACATGACGTACGAATGATAGCCGATTTAGTGAAAATAGTGAATCGAAATATGAAATACCTACTTATAACGAGAACGGTGAAAGCTAACGCATCGGTGCAAAAATTCAAGTGCATTGTTCAATGCTTAATTTCACTCAGTTCACATGATTTCCTCCGTGCTGCCGGTTGTCTTGTACGGCTATGAAGACTAGACAAAGACGGGACACGAACCGTTTCGAAGAACATTAATTTGATAAATTCTAAGAATTTCTACAAATCTTGGAAATTTTACCATTCCTAATCTACAATTTGGTGTCAATTAACTGTGAGTTCACCAAACATTAGATAGAGGCGATATTTAACAGCATCTTCAGTTTACCTACGTGTGTAAAAATTGTCTGTTAAGTCACTAAACAACTGTAGCAATCCATAAAAACTCGATGGTGCCCATGTTTGCTTTACTTTTCATCCGCGCGTGTGTTGGCACGCGTCAATACTGTTGACTCTTCGTAATGCCGTGTTTCCGCGCGACCAGCTATTGGTAGATATTTACCTAACTGTCTCAACAAAATCGCACTTAAAACTCAAGAAACGGTATTAAAATTTATTATTGAAGTGACAATGTTAGGATCTAATGACACTGACAAACTCGCTCAGCGGTGGGTCCGTGTGTAGAAACACCCACTTTGTCGATTTAAGCTGGTTTCCGACTTCACAGTCAATCATTTCTTAGAATATCAGTTCGTAACATATTAACACTGAACGTTGAAATATGGACAG